GCTGGTCAGGTACCGACTTTAGGTGCTTGTCCAGTGCCAGCTTGAAGACTGGCAGGGGTCTGTTGGTAATCCCCTTATGTATGCTGGGAGGCAGTTGAACAGTCTCAGGCCCCTGACACTTATTGTGTTGTCTCTTAACGTGCTAGTGGCGCCTCTGCTTTTCATTGGGGAATATTGCATCGTCTGCCGAGTCTTTTGCTTTCATAGGGAGTGATTTTCGTGTGCAAGTTTGGTACTAACCCCTCTAGGATTTTCCAAGTTTATATAATCATATATCTCTCTCACCTGCATTCTAGGGAGTACAGGTTGAGGAACTTCAAGTGTTTCCAGTATTTGAGGTGTCTTATCTCTGTTATGCGAGCCGTGAAGGTTCTCTGTACATTTTCTAGGTCAGCAATTTCACCTGCCTTGAAAAGTGCTGTTTGTGTGCAGCAATATTCCAGCCTAGATAGAACAAGTGACGACCTGAAGAGTGTCATCATGGGCTTGGCATCCCTAGTTTTGAAGGTTCTCATTATCCATCCTGTCATTTTTCTAGCAGATGCGATTGATACAATGTTATGGTCCTTGAAGGTGAGATCCTCCGACATGATCACTCCCAGGTCTTTGACGTTAGTTTTTCTCACTATTGTGTGGTTGGAATTTGTTTTATACTCTGATGAAGATTTAATTTCCTCATGTTTACCATGTCGGAGTAATTGAAATTTCTCATCGTTGAACTTCATATTGTTTTCTGCAGCCCACTGAAAGATCTGGTTGATGTCCGCCTGGAGCCTTGCAGTGTCTGCAACGGAAGACACTGTCATGCAGATTCGGGTGTCATCTGCAAAGGAAGACACGGTGCTGTGGCTGACATCCTTCTCTATGTCAGATATGAGGATGAGGAACAAGATGGAAGCGAGTACTGTGCTGGTAGCAGCACACTGAGGATGTTACCAGTCAGTAGACAGAGCATAGCTCGGACCTCTGCAACAGAGGCCAGAGCGTAGCTCGGACCTCTGCAACAGAGACCAGAGCGTAGCTCGGACCTCTGCAACAGAGGCCAGAGCGTAGCTCGGACCTCTGCAACAGAGACCAGAGCGTAGCTCGGACCTATGCAACAGAGACCAGAGCGTAGCTCGGACCTCTGCAACAGAGACCAGAGCGTAGCTCGGACCTCTGCAACAGAGGCCAGAGCGTAGCTCGGACCTCTGCAACAGAGACCAGAGCGTAGCTCGGACCTATGCAACAGAGACCAGAGTGTAGCTCGGACCTCTGCAACAGAGGCCAGAGCGTAGCTCGGACCTCTGCAACAGAGACCAGAGCGTAGCTCGGACCTATGCAACAGAGACCAGAGTGTAGCTCGGACCCCTGCAACAGAGACCAGAGCGTAGCTCGGACCTCTGCAACAGAGACCAGAGCGTAGCTCGGACCTCTGCAACAGAGACCAGAGCGTAGCTCGGACCTCTGCAACAGAGACCAGAGCGTAGCTCGGACCTCTGCAACAGAGACCAGAGCGTAGCTCGGACCTCTGCAACAGAGACCAGAGCGTAGCTCGGACCTCTGCAACAGAGACCAGAGCGTAGCTCGGACCTCTGCAACAGAGACCAGAGCGTAGCTCGGACCTCTGCAACAGAGACCAGAGCGTAGCTCGGACCTCTGCAACAGAGACCAGAGCGTAGCTCGGACCTCTGCAACAGAGACCAGAGCGTAGCTCGGACCTCTGCAACAGAGACCAGAGCGTAGCTCGGACCTCTGCAACAGAGACCAGAGCGTAGCTCGGACCTCTGCAACAGAGACCAGAGCGTAGCTCGGACCTCTGCAACAGAGACCAGAGCGTAGCTCGGACCTCTGCAACAGAGACCAGAGCGTAGCTCGGACCTCTGCAACAGAGACCAGAGCGTAGCTCGGACCTCTGCAACAGAGACCAGAGCGTAGCTCGGACCTCTGCAACAGAGACCAGAGCGTAGCTCGGACCTCTGCAACAGAGACCAGAGCGTAGCTCGGACCTCTGCAACAGAGGCAGAGCGTAGCTCGGACCTCTGCAACAGAGGCTAGAGCGTAGCTCGGACCTCTGCAACAGAGGCTAGAGCGTAGCTCGGACCTCTGCAACAGAGGCTAGAGCGTAGCTCGGACCTCTGCAACAGAGGCTAGAGCGTAGCTCGGACCTCTGCAACAGAGGCTAGAGCGTAGCTCGGACCTCTGCAACAGAGGCTAGAGCGTAGCTCAGACCTCTGCAACAGAGGCTATAGCGTAGCTCAGACCTCTGCAACAGAGGCTAGAGCGTAGCTCAGACCTCTGCAACAGAAGCTAGAGCGTAGCTCGGACCTCTGCAACAGAGGCTAGAGCGTAGCTCGGACCTCTGCAACAGAGACCAGAGCGTAGCTCGGACCTCTGCAACAGAGGCTAGAGCGTAGCTCGGACCTCTGCAACAGAGGCTAGAGCGTAGCTCGGACCTCTGCAACAGAGGCTAGAGCGTAGCTCGGACCTCTGCAACAGAGGCTTAGAGCGTAGCTCGGACCTCTGCAACAGAGGCTAGAGCGTAGCTCGGACCTCTGCAACAGAGGCTAGAGCGTAGCTCGGACCTCTGCAACAGAGGCTAGAGCGTAGCTCGGACCTCTGCAACAGAGGCTAGAGCGTAGCTCAGACCTCTGCAACAGAGGCTAGAGCGTAGCTCAGACCTCTGCAACAGAGGCTAGAGCGTAGCTCAGACTCTGCAACAGAGGCTAGAGCGTAGCTCGGACCTCTGCAACAGAGGCTAGAGCGTAGCTCGGACCTCTGCAACAGAAGCTAGAGCGTAGCTCAGACCTCTGCAACAGAGGCTAGAGCGTAGCTCAGACCTCTGCAACAGATTCTAGAGCGTAGCTCAGACCTCTGCAACAGAGGCTAGAGCGTAGCTCAGACCTCTGCAACAGAAGCTAGAGCGTAGCTCGGACCTCTGCAACAGAGGCTAGAGCGTAGCTCGGACCTCTGCAACAGAGGCTAGAGCGTAGCTCAGACCTCTGCAACAGAGGCTAGAGCGTAGCTCGGACCTCTGCAACAGAAGCTAGAGCGTAGCTCAGACCTCTGCAACAGAAGCTAGAGCGTAGCTCAGACCTCTGCAACAGAGGCTAGAGCGTAGCTCAGACCTCTGCAACAGAGGCTAGAGCGTAGCTCAGACCTCTGCAACAGAGGCTAGAGCGTAGCTCAGACCTCTGCAACAGAGGCTAGAGCGTAGCTCAGACCTTGCAACAGAGACGAGAGGTAGCTCGGACCTCTCAACAGAGACCAGAGCGAGCTCAGACCTCTGCAAACAGAGACCAGAGCGAAGCTCAGACCTCTGCAACAATTATCTCAAGATTGATAATGTTATACAGGAATTAAGAAAAATCCTGGACTCACTTACGAAACAGACAAATGCAAATGTTGATATAATTTTGTACAGGTGGATTTAGTGAAAATGATCATTAGAAGACTGGCACTGAGTGCCACTTAAAGCTGGAGGAACTGTTCTCACATCCAACTTTTACAGTTCCAACCCACTAGGAACCAGTAAGTTGACACTGAATTCCACTGTAACTGCAGTGGATTAACATTCAACCAGTTGCGATTTTACAAAAGATTACTACGCACTCACAAAAAAATACATTAATACAGCAGTGAAACATTTGTTTTAAAGTATTATATTGTAATTCAATTGACGATAAATAAACATTGTCAAGAACTAGTTCAGCATCAAAAACATCTTAACTTTTTGTTCAGTAAACTTATAGCTTAATTAACTGTGAAAGAAATGGAAGATAAAAAACCCATAAAACATAGAAAGTCTAGGTTGTTTACCATTATTCTTTCTGCTGTTTGATATATATTTGTGGCAGTTTTAGATTCAGAACCATTTAGTTTATTTAACAAAGTCCACAGCTCAAAAGGGTGTCAGTAATAGTATAGAAAATCACCGAATGTGAGAGACTTTAACACATCTCCAGTCACTTCATGGTGTCCCGTGGCTGGGTTGGTAGCGCACTCGCCTCACACACACTGACGTCCAGGGGTCGATCCTCGGTACCGGTGGAAACATTAGGACGTGTTTCCTGAAGATTCCTGCTGTCCATGTTCACCTAGCAGTAAAATAGGTACCTGGGTGTTAGTTGACTGATGTGGGTCGCATCCTGGGATAAACCTGACCTAATTTGCTGGAAGTGCTCAACATGACAACATAACCTCCGTGTAGTTAACTGCACTGAGGTGAACAACTCCCTCAGTTAACTGCACTGAGGTGAACAACTCCCTCAGTTAACTGCACTGAGGTGAACAACTCCCTCAGTTAACTGCACTGAGGTGAACAACTCCCTCAGTTAATTGCACTGAGGTGAACAACTCCCTCAGTTAACTGCACTGAGGTGAACAACTCCCTCAGTTAACTGCACTGAGGTGAACAACTCCCTCAGTTAACTGCACTGAGGTGAACAACTCCCTCAGTTAACTGCACTGAGGTGAACAACTCCCTCAGTTAACTGCACTGAGGTGAACAACTCCCTCAGTTAATTGCACTGAGGTGAACAACTCCCTCAGTTAATTGCACTGAGGTGAACAACTCCCTCAGTTAATTGCACTGAGGTGAACAACTCCCTCAGTTAATTGCACTGAGGTGAACAACTCCCTCAATTAACTACACTGAGGTTAACTAAAATATATAATACAGCTCATGGTATAATACTGGGTATAATAGGGGAGTGGGACAATCACTGACTGTCAAAGTCTGCCAGACTTAATACCTTTCAGTAGTTTCATCCTGCCTGAAGGAAGATGACAGGGAAACTAGGTATGTTTTGTTCCCATGTGTAATTTTTATATACAAAAAGGTAGTTGTAAACTGCTGCTGTATCAATTTTTATTGAAATAAACAAGAAATCAGAATGTAAGATGGCCGGTGTGTCAGGAATCTCTCAAGACAAGAACTTTCCACCAGAAGTCTCTCTCAGACACTTTCACCTTTGCTAATTCCCTCAATTAGTAATCTCTAGTTTAATCAAACGCTTCGCAGATGTAATTTTCATTATTAACTATTAATTTATACTAATTATTCCATTCTTTTACATATATTTTTTTTGTAGCTTCGTAGTACAGTGGGTACATTAATGTCTGGCTGACTTCACATAGATGTAACGTACATCCAGAGCGACACCCAAGAAAGAAATAGACACAGGTTTTCTTGCCTTATTGGTAACGCAGCAACAACACAACAATGGACACTTTATACAAGTGGTACAATTGTAAGAAAATCTAATATTAAAATGTTGTTATATGGAAAAGTATTCAGTAAATTTATCTCTATCTACTATCCCAGACAATATTTTTCTTCTAAGGACTGATATTTCTCATCACACTTTAAGCACCTCCAAAATTTGGAGCCCTTCGTATTTTTTTAACGATGTATTTAATACTTAGTACACTACTAAATGTTTTACAAAAGGTTTATTCTCCCATTCGCATCGTTTATTCTGCATTTCGCATCGTCCTCAGGTAAGTTCGTGTCTTGTGGCTCTCCAATGGCATGTTCTCACAACCGACAGACCAGGGTTCGATCTTGGAGCAGGTCGAGACGTGCAGCATATTTCCTTTACTCCTGTTCACCGGGCAGTAAGTAGGTACCTGGGTGTTAGCTTACTGTTGTGTGTCGCATCCTGGGGAAGATGACCATGGAACTCTCCATGGAAATATGTCACACTGATTGTTTTTCCTGGGATAACCTGGCTTAATAATAGTCAGGATTAATGGTCTGAATAAACCCATCCTCTTAGTCACACTTTTTTTCAGTAACAGACGTAAACCTCGCACGATACTCTGAATATATTGTACTTACTGGGTCTCAGAGAACTTAAGTCATAAATCTTGTTGGTGAGTCAGAGGATGAAGTCTTTCACTTTTCAGCAGAAACTAACAAAAAAAAGTATGATAGCCTGTCACACTCAATCTAGTACATTAACATGGTTATCTTGCGTGTCAATATCATAAACCTGACCACAACCTATAGCGTCAAAGACTGTACTAGTTCTGACCCGAGTCATTATTAAGGTCATGAAATGCAAGTAACAGTGTAATAAACCATTGTTTTCAACATGTTTAATTAACCTGACGAAATCTGATCACCAATATCCACAATAAAATCCCGTTGCCAGGCAAAGGGAGACATATACTGGCTCACAGTTGATGTCCCGGGGAGCTATGAAGGTCACACTACTGGAGGGAGAGGTCACACTTCACTCTCTTTGTGGTCGTTCACTAGGGAGGTATCCGCTGTCACTTCATCTTCCTCCTGCAATATGGAAGGAGTGAATGCGTGCGCGGGTTGTGTTGGAGTGTTGTGGTGTTGGAGGTTCCCAGACTCGACTTCTTGGGCACACATCACCATGCTGCTTCCAGGGCATATGCTGACACCCATTTCCAGTATGCTGTCACCCATGTTGCCACCCACAATGCCGCCCATATTGCTAGACACTGCTTCAGCCATGGTGCTGCCCATCAGACCACTTGACAACGTAGCGATAGTAGCACCAATGTTACCACTGCTGAGTGGAACGACAGTAGCACCTATGTTACCGCTGCTGAGAGGAACAACATTAGCACCTTTGCTACCACTGCTTAGAGGAACGAGGCCCCTAGACACAGGGGTCCCCGGCATGGCATGATCTATCTGGGCGTATATAGTTGGGTCTGCTTTATGTCGAGTGAAGGTGCCTGTTGCATAGTGACTAGTGCCCCGGGGGAAACACAGCTCTGCGTACATCAGCTCTGCGTTCTGTGTCAGAGATAAAGAAAACAGTATTACTGGAAGCCACTTTGTTATTATTATTATTATAATCAAAAAGAAGCGCTAAGCCACAAGGGCTATACAGCGCTGCAGGGTAGGGAAGGAAGCGAGGGAATTGGATGGCAGAAGGGAGGGGGGATGATCAGCAGGTTACAGAAAACAGCGGGGCAGGGGATAGTATGGGGGTAGAGGGTAGCAAGAGATTGAAGTAGAAAGGGCTGAAGGTATCAGAATTTGTGAAGTAAGTCAGTTGTTGTCAAAAAGTCAATGAGAGAGTCCGGATGAAAGGTGGGTCCATCAGCGAGAAGGGAAGGTAAAGAGAGAGCAGCGGAGCGAAGACGACGACAGAGGTAAATTCTGCGTGCTCGTTGATAAAGTGGGCAGTCCAACAGAATGTGGCTGACTGATAATGGAGCTTGGCAATTCTCACAGAGAGGAGCAAGACGCCTCTCCATGAGATATCCATGAGTAAGACGAGTATGGCCAATGCGAAGACGGGAGAGAGTAGTCTCCAACCTCGACACTGGTGATAAGAAGACGGCCAGTAACCTATACTCGGTTTAATAGATTGAAGTTTGTTGCCGAGCATAGTAGACCAACGTTGTTGCCAACGGGTGTGAAGGTGGGAAGATATTGCAGTAAAATAGTCCGTAAATGGAATACCTCTATAAGAAACTGGTAGGTCATGTACGGGCTGATTCGCGCACCCAGTGTCTGCCTTTTCATTGCCCTGTACGTCAACATGACCAGGGACCCAACAAAAAACAATATCTTTATGCTTGGTAAAGATGCGGCTAGCCAAAGTTGGATCGGAGGACTAAGGGGGTGAGGTGTATCATTTTTTTATAGCCTGTAAAGCACTAAGGGGTCTGAGACAACCACAAATGATGACACAGGCATAGATGCAATACGGATAAGTGCTGTAAGGATGGCATATAATTCAGCGTAAAAATACTAGCCGAAGATAGAAAAATTCCCTTGTACGACGCTGTCCGGAAAACACTGCTGCGAATCCTACGCCGTCAGAAGACTTAGACCCAAATCTGTGTACACAGCAATGGCAGAGAATGAGAGTGAAAGTGGTCAAGAAAAAAAGAGCGGGAAGCGACCGTAGACAGTTGGGCTTTCGAGCAAGGGAGGGAGAAAGAACAGACTCGAACAGCTGGAACTTCCCAGGGGGATAGGGAAAGTGAGATGCTACATGTACATAGAAAGGTGGTAGTTGAAGAGAAGACAGAGCGAATGAAGGCGAAGAGAGAAGGGACGGAGTAAACAGGGGCGGGCGAACAAATAAAGAATGTCTACTAATATCAGTGACCATTCTATAAATGGAAGGATTGCGGAGATCATGAGAGTGTACATAAGTAGCGCAGGCAATGGGCATCACGGCGATCGGATAAGGATGGAACGTTCCCTTCTGCATAGAGGCTCTCGACAGGGGAAGAGCGAAAAGCACCAAGGCATAAACGTAATCCTTGGTGGTGAATGGGGTTAAGGCTAGAGAGAGTAGCAGGAGATGCCGCTGAATAGATCTGGTCACCATAATCAAGTTTCGATAAAATAAGGGTGGAATGTAGGCGAAGGAGGGTTCGACGATCAGCTCCCCATGAAAGATGAGCAAGGGTTTTAAGAAGGTTCAGCCGGCTGTGACAAGTTGCCTTCAGAGAGGTAATGTGAGGTTTCCAGGATAACCTACGATCAAAGAGGAGGCCCAGAAACTTGACTGAATCACGTTCAGGGATACGGGAGCCATAGAGGTACAAAGGATGATCGGAGATGACAGAGCGTCTAGTGAAAGTGATTTGGTGGGTTTTTTGTGCTGGAAAATTTAAACCCACGTGTGGTGGCCCAATTGGAAACACGGTCGACTGCATGTTGGAGAGAAACTGTAATGAGGTGACAGTCAGCGCCTGCACAGGCAATAGCGAAGTCATCAACATAGAGTGATGACCAAATATTTGATGGAAGACTAGAGGCCAAATCATTAATAGCAAGGAGAAAAAGTGTTGTGCTCAGAACAAATCCCTGGGGGACACCTTCAGCTTGAATAAAGTCCGGGGAGAGCACATTATTAACCCGAACACGGAAATGCCTGTCAGTTAAAAAGTTCTCAAGGAAGGATGGTAGATTGCCTCGAAGGCCTAAGGAGTGGGCTTGGGTCTAAAATATTATACCTCCAAGTTGTGTCATATGCCTTCTCAAGGTCAAAAAATATGGCAATAACTGAGTGGTTATTCGCAAAGGCATTACGAAACATACGTATCCAAGCGTAGTAAGGGGTCTATGGTAGAACGTCCCTTACGAAAGCCATATTGACGAGTGGAGAGACTGTTGTGTGTCTCTAAATACCACACTAAACGTCTATTTACTAGGCGTTCCATTACTTTGCAAACTGCACTGGTAAGAGCAATGGGACGATAGTGGGAGGTTTCATGTCCCGTAGTGCCTGGTTTGCGGAAAGGGAGAACAATGGCGGATTTCCACAGCTGTGGAAGAACTCCTTGTGACCAAATAAGATTGTAAAGGTGTAATAGGACTGCAAGGGCTGACTGATGTAAATGTTGTAGCATACGAATATGAATGTCGTCGGGCCCAGCTGCCGATGATCGACAAGCTGAGTGTGTTGCCTCCAGTTCTTGAAGTGTAAAAGGCACATTAACTGTTCTTCTCTGAGAGAAGAAAAAGTCCAAGGGTGCTAACTCTCTGGCAGACTTTGAGGAAAGAAATGAGGGCATAGATGAAGTCCCTGAGAAATACGGACCAAGATGATTGCCAATTTCATTGGCAACATCTAGTGGGTTTGCTATATCAACACCGGCAACCCGCAGAACAGGAGCTGGGTCAGGAGAATATTTACCACTCAGTTTTCGTACTTTTTTCCAGACTGCACTCATAGGGAAGCAGAGGTGATGGTGAGACAATCTCGCCAGCAAGTGCGTTTAGGCATCACGGATGACACGGCGAGCGATCGCACGCTTCTGTTAAAATCAAGGAGTCGCTCTGTGGTTCTATTGTACCGGTACCTGCCCCATGCAGCGCGTTTCAAACGTACTGCACGAGCACAAGCAGGAGACCACCAAGGCACGCATTTCTGAGAATGCCTGCCCGAAGTTTGGGGTATAGAATGAGAAGCTGCGGTGAAAACGGAGGACGAGAAGAGGTGTAAAAGCTCATCGATGGAGGACGAAGCAGGAACCTCTTTAAAAACAGTTAGGTGTGAGTAAAGGTTCCAATTTGCCCGATTAAATTGCCAGCGTGGGGTGCGAAGAGGTGGCGAATATGAAGGGGAAGTAAGAATGATTGGGAAATGATCACTGTCATGTAAGTCCGGGAGAACAGACAAAGTGAAGTCTAATGCAACGGAGGAAGAGCAGACTGAGAGATCGATGCAAGAGAGAGTATGAGTCCGAGGATCAAAATGGGTGTGAGTACCAGTATTTAAAACATGGAGGGGGTGGGTGGCAAGAAAAGCCTCTAACTGGGAATCACAGTGAGACCCCCCCCAGAGGAAATGGTGGGCATTAAAATCACCAAGTAACAGAATCGGTGGCGGTAATGACGAAACAAGGAAGGCAAAATCCGGAATAGATAATGCCCGAGAAGGAGAGAGATATAAAGAACAGAGTGTATACCACCTATGCAAGTGGATACGGGCTGCTGTGTAATGCAGCGAAGTATGAACAAATAGCTGATGGTACGAAATATCAGTGCGGAGAAGAAGGGCACTTTCATTAAAGGTCCCATCAGGAAAAGGATCTGAAGAATACAATAAATTATAGCCTGAGATGTGAGAAATAACAGCAGAGTGTAATTTGGTTCCTGTAAGCAAACACCAACAGGGCAAACTGGGAGAGTAACATCTGAAGCTCACCCCGATTACCCCTGAGGCCGCGTATATTCCACTGTAAGATAGGCCATAATTGGCAATGATTAAAGATACTTGAAATCCGCAGGTAAGGGTTCCTATGGACTAGAAGGGTTAGAAAAAGTCCACATGCGGAGGCAGTGGAAAACGTTCAAGCAGCGAAGAACGGTGCGCTGTGAAGAAAGGAGTTGCGCAGATGGAGCAGAGGAGAGAGAAAGAGCGGAAGGTGGATCAGTGTCCATTGATGTTTGGTCTCTGCAATATATTCAGAGATTGCTTCAAGTGTTTCGGAATTCAGAGATGTCGTATGGGAGACAATATTGGGAATGGTAGGGGAGAGATGAGTAAAGATTGGAACTGTATTGGACAGTACCAAGGTAGGGGGGGGGCGCAAAGGGTGGAGGGAACTGGAGAAGCGTGGCAGGGGACAGAAGAGGCAGGAACCTGGGAGGTGGCAGAAGAGGAAGAAACTTGGGAGGGAACAGGGGAGGAAGGTACAGTAAGAGGAGGAGGGTGAACCTCTACACTTGTAACTGAGCCAGTGGAGAGGGGAAGAACCAGGACAGAGACAGGGAGGGTAAAATGAGGAGGTGGAAGATGGGTAGGAGGTGTTAACGGACCTTTTTTTGACTTTTGAGAAGTAGAGGGACGATTGGGAGGAGGTGTCGTACGAGGTCTCATCGATACTGAGGCTTGTGAGAGAGAACTCGAAGAAGCGAGATTAGACTGAGGCGTTGAAGTAGGGACGTCTGAGCCGAGGACAGCAAAAGGATTAGATACAGGAGTGATTATGGGAGAGGTAACCACAGAGGTGGGTGTAGAAGATGGGATACCAGAAGTGGGGGGACGTTTTGAAACATGGGAATAAGAAACACGTGGGAGTCTCCCTTGGAGGCGGAGATGAGAAACTGCCATGGCATAAGGGAGACCTTCTGTCTCTTTGAGGTAACGGATTTCCCGCTCGTTTAAATAGACCTGACAACGGCGAGAGTATGAAGGGTGAGCCTCATGACAGTTAAGGCAAGAGGGAGATCGATTGCAAGACGTATTAGAATGGTTATCGGCACCACAGACTGGGCATTCGGCGATAGATCTGCAATATTTCGCTGGATGGCCAAATCGC